CCCCAGCCCCACAGCGGCGGGACGGGACTGGCCCCTCCACTTCCATCACATGGGGGCCCGCCAGAGGAAACCCCCTCCAGCAGCACGGCAACAGCCACCACGGACCCACGGGAGTTTTAACTAAAACCTTATTTAAAAGTTTGTTAACTTTATTAAAAGTTTTATTAAACTCCCGGGAAGCCGGAGCTTCATAACAGAGTTTGCAGCAGACTGGACCTAGCTGCCATGCCACCCTCCCAGGCTACCAGCGCATCAGAAAAAAAAAACAAAAACATTACGTTTAGAAAAAGATGACATTAAAAAATAGTCCCCGACAAATTACATCCGCGCAACTGGCGAAATCAGCTCCAGAAACACCCGCGGAGCTGAAAACCAGCAGCACGCGTATCTGCATTTCTCACCAAAAGAGCTTCTTGCTGAGCTCGGCGCACTGCTGAAATGCAATGGTTCGAGTATTTCAGACTTGTTTTCCCTTTTTTTTTTTTTTTTGCTTTTTTAAGCAGCCCTTTCGTCGGGGGTGAAAAATCAAAACAGCAATTACAAGCCACCCTCCCAAAAGCTCTGTAAAAGGAGGCAGCCGGAGAAGCCAAGCCCCTAACATCATGAATTTATTTTTGTACCTGCACTCTTGTCCAGAAAATAAGCCAACAGACACCTCATAACTGCCTGGTGGGAGATAACGAGGACGTTGCCTTGACGTTCTAGCTCCATAATTACCGGCTCCAGGCGCTGGACCAAGTCCTGGTAGGACTGAAAAAAACAAAACGGGAATTTTTCAAGGGGTTTTGTAAACAGAGGCTTAAAGCAGAAGTAGCAATTAACACAGCTTCACAGTCGGGAAAATAAGCGGTTAAAATATCAAAATGCGGAAGTTAGGGATGATCTGGTAAATAGAGAGAAGAAAAGCAAACAGCAAAAGGTGAATTTTAATGCCAGCAACCCTCAGATTACAGGAGGATCCAGATCCCTGGTAACTCTTAACGGGGGCAGTAAGGAAAAACAAATAAAATAGTAAATTATACATTTAAACGAGGTCGTGAAGTCAAACCAGAAATGACTCCATACCGCACCCACAATCATTTTCTTCCCAAGATGGTTTTTCGCAGTGACAATTCAGGACTGGGTCGAAGGAGCCGGATGCAGAAACCCCTCAGTGCCTGAGGGGAGCATCAAGTGGGACACGGCACGCGGCCCGACCGAATACGCCTGAAAGGCAGATGATTCCGCAATAAAGGAAATCAATAAACCTCTCCTCTAAAAGAGAGCTGGGGATCCTAATGTTTTCAGTGTCTCATACAAATATTGGCAGAAAAACCTAAGATTAAATCCTTCAGTTCTACGAGCATGTATTTATTTTAGGTATAACTGTATCTTATTGCTATTTCTTATTTGTTATTTCTTATTTCTTATTTTTTATTTCTTATTTTTTATTTTTTATTTCTTATTTCTTATTTTTTATTTCTTATTTCTTATTTTTTATTTCCTTCACCTCGCCTCCGGGATAGCGATAAAGGTATTTCTCTTGATCCCTCAACGAAAACTCATCTGGATACTTGGCTTCGATTTCTGCATAGGTCATTTCTTCACACACCCCCTGAGGGAAGAAGAACTCAGTTACAACGCGTTTCACCAGAAGCACAACAATGCAACAAAAGAAAAAGCAAGTGGCTGAGATCCCTTTATGTGATGAAAATGGTGGGTAACGTGTCTGGCGCAGCCACAGGCTCAGGATTTGGGTAACACACGTCCAGGGTGGTTCGAAGACGATGGGCTTTTGGTTTTATTTCCAAACCCTTGTTTGCCAGGGATGAAAACAATCGTTCATTTCCACAGCAACAACCCTGCAACGTCTTTTGCTTTAAGGAATTGGAGCAGGAGCGGTATCCTTTGTCCATACAGGATGGTGTGACAAACGCCTGGGATGTTCAACATTCTTTTCGTTCTCCACACCAGCTGGATACACACAGCAAGGTTCAGCAGCTCCAGGCACTGTCAGCCCTCTACCAAACCACCCCAAACCTCACGGTGACGGCTGGAGTACATGACACAGGGACACGGTCCCGAACAAACAGGAAATAGTCAATTTTATCGTGACGAATTTGTTTTTAAATGTTATTTTCCATCTAGAAAAGCTAAAGGCTTCGATCAGCATTTCACTCACAGCATCGATCTCGTTGAGAATCTTCCACTGCTCGTACGTGACCCCCAGAGACTCGGCCGTCTGGATCGTCCTTTTCAGCTGGCTCGTCCACACCTTCAGATCAACAATTTCCTGCTCTTCGATGAACTTCTTCAGCGCCTGAGCAAACTGGAAAAAAAAAAAAAAAAAAGTCAGGGCAGGTTAGAAGGGAGCAGGAGCTGCTGCCGCCGTTAAAAGCATCATGTCAAGGGTTGTGGCTGTCGCGGCAAGATCCAGCTCAGGGCTGCCCCTCGCAGGAGTCGGATGCAGAGCCCGGCTCTGACCCTGGTCACACAACACAAATACAGCAACCCGGGTGCTGCCAGACACATACCTGCTTCCCGCGTGGTGACAGACCAGAATCCCCACCAATCTTGCCAACAAGATTATATTCACTCTCACCGTGTCGGCAAAGGTAGATGGTACGTGGCTGGACATGAATGTTCATTAGGTAATAGACGATTTTACTCTGGATGTAATCTTGGACTCTGTTTACTAGGAACCGCTGTCCCACATTGATCACTTTAATGAAGGAAAGATCTCTGGAGTCAACATAAAATAAGAACACCCACAGGACTGGTTTTAAAAATGAAGCACGTGCATCTGCGGGTGTAATCTAGCTACTCATCCTCTAGTAAAGTCATCAGCACTACCACTGGGTCGCTCCAGCAGACAGAAGAGACACTGAACTGCCGTGCTTAAATAAGGACCTGCATTACACTGCAGCAGACTGGAGAAAAATCCTTTCAAAGCACTTGGAGGATATCACCTTCACGCGAGCAGTCACGCTTTGGGAGAGCAGAGGCTCTAGCAGACGCGTTACAGCATCCTGAGCCGGAGAACAGCAGCGACTAAGCAAAGCAGCTCACGTGGGCAAGGACAAAACGCACCCCAGGGCTTCGCTTACTTGTCATACGCATCGGGATCGAGCGGCTGGTAAGTGACCTTGTAGCACTCTATCCTCTTCAGGAAATCATCCATCACATTCTCCCTGTTTCTCTCCGGGTAGTCGGGGCTGGAAACTTTCACCTCCTGATCAAAACACAGCACCGCTTTGTGAGAGTTAAGCAAACTCAACGGGGAACAAAAGCAACACTGAATAACATTATTGTTCCCTTTTGAAATAAACAGACATTGTTTAATGCTGCCCTTTGGAAAAACCTGCTCCTGGAGAGAAAACAAAGGGCCGCTCTGAAGGCTGCTTGGCCCCACGACAGACACAGCTGGCTCGCTCTTTGCTGTCCCTGCAAGCCGCTCGCTGCCTGCCTGCCTTCCCGCCACAAGAAATCACGTTTCAAGGTCAAACATTTCTCAGCTTCATTCCATTTCCACCTTCTCACATAACTAACTGGATCTTTAGCTTGTATAAGCTTGCAGACCTCAGCTGCTTATTTCCAAGGTGACACATAAGAGCAAGGCGTTTGCAGCCATTCCTGTAAGCTACTGCAGCTAGTGACCTTGCACCGAGCGCCCGAGCTCCCCCGGCAGGCACAGGCAGCTGAGCCTGGAAAAGGTGGCACGCACCAGGATATTTGCAGCGATGACTTCTGGATCGTCACAGACAGACTCCACAAAAAACACCTACGAAGAAAGCAGGGAAGCATATTTCAGAGAGTCAAAAATCGAAACTCGAGGGCTCCCGCCCCAGGGAGCGGTAACGTCCCTCGGTGCAGCAGCTCCAACTACAAATTAAATACAGGAGCACTACCTTGAAAGCATTTTCTTTAGCAAAATTTAAGATCAGGTCCCGTCTTTCTCGAGTTGTGTTGGTCGCATCAAACACCTAGCAGAAAATAAGTAGCAATGAGCAAATTTATCTAAGGCTTTTAAACCAGCCCCAAAACATCTGGGATTTACAATCAACTCTCTAAACACCCTGGGCAGCTTTGAACTACCCAGATGTAAATATTTAGTCCAGAAGACTCTTACAGCTATTTGCCCGCATTCCTCCAAGAGATAAGCCTTCACATCTTCCAGAGCCACTAAGGCACATCGTCTGCAGGAGAGAAACGGGTGTTATCGGAGTAAAGTATTCAGACAGCGAGGCTCCTGAACCACTGTGGAGAGATTTAAACACCTTCCTCCTCTGCCCATGGAGCACCCGCCCCTGCAGCTTTCCGAGAGCCGCAGAGATCATAAAGCATCTGTATCTATAACCGGGCATCCGCAGCCCCCGCTCTTTGCACCAGCCCAAAGCTAACAGCAGAACAACCCCCTGCACGGGCTGCGTGCCCCCGCCCCTGGTTTCACAGCCATTAAACATTATTTTCTGCTCCTCAAATACAAAGCCTGCCAAGCCCTGAGACTAACCAGACCACCGCGGGTCGGTTCAGCCCCGCTGACGCCGACTTACTTGCGGATTTCCATGGCTTCTTTGTTATCGTGCCTGAAGAAGTCATAGGACTTGTAAGACTTCACGGCTTCCCGGCGATACACTCCTAAATTAAACACTTCACACACAAAAGACGAGCGCGTGAGCCTGACGGCATCGCGCAGGCGGCTCTCACAGGGCCTTGGGCGCAGGGCAGAGGCATCCCCGCAGCGGGGCGAGGCGCCGGCCCCCGCACACACCTTTGGTGGGCACCCCGATCCAGTTGAGGTAGCGGGTGAGCTTCTTGGACACGTAAGTCTTGCCGCGGGCGGGGAGGCCGATCATCACGATCAGCGTCGGGGAGTTGGTCATGTAGGAAGCCCACGCTGCAAAAAAAAACCCAAAACAAAAAAAACCAAAACAAAACACCCAAACCAGGTGCATCAACAGCAACGCTGAGCATCTGAGGGCAACGAGGGGAGCCCCAACCCAAAGGGCAGCCCCCGTGATGAGCTGCCCCATCTCCCGGACGGACAGACGGGACGGACAGGCGGCCACCGGGCATCTCCTAACGGGCTCGCTGTCCTGGCCTCGTGGCTAATTAGCACCGAGCACGAGCTGGCCCGCTCTGTGGTCTCCCGGGCGTCAGCTAATGAGGCAGATCAAGCAGCGGCGGCCCCGCTGTCCCTAACGGCACTGATACACGTCTTTTAGCGGTAAAAATATTTACCGACGGAGCAGGCGCTGTCAAGGACATCAGAAAGATGCTTTTAGCAAACCGGTCACGTTCTCTCGGCAAACAGCCGGAGAAGCCCCGGGGAGAGGCAGGTTTGGGGGAAGAGCGGGCGATCCCAGCGTCCACGAGTTCGGAAAACGAGGGGCTGGGGTGCGCAGCGCCCGCGGGAGC